ATTGTTTTTTACAAGATAAATATTGAAAATAGATATCGGAAATAAAATAAATATGTATCAACACGACGATTTTCACTCGTCCTTCAATAATGATCACCCAAAATTTTATCCACGAATATGAAAGGATCCTATTGAAAATAAGTAAACAGAATATTTCTAGATTATTCAATGAAACATGTCCCAATGAAATCATGCTGACGAAGTCATATATGCGTGCGTGTGTGTGTATACTACACACACACACACACACACACACACACACACACATATATATATATATATATATATATATATATATATATTATATATATATATATATATATATATATATATTAGGAAAATCAGAAAATAATGTCCGATTTTTGAGTTGACTTTATTTAGGCATTAATGTTTTTAAACACAATTTAACCCAGTTAAAATAGGATTTCTGTCTATATTTCTACCCTCGAGTTACAAGGTTATTTGTGCATTTAAATAAACATTCAAAGATTTTAACCGTCAAGGAATCTTGGAATGCAGTTTGTGCATCTTCTTTGAAACGTAATATATTTTGGCTTTAAAAAAAATTGCGAAGATGCTTGTAAAAGTTGAGATCAAAGGATGCGTTTCGTGTCCCAAAATGGTGAGCTTCTACAGTGTCATCCTGGCTAGTCATTGTCATGAAACAGATTTGAACTTGATTATCTAGTACTGGTAATATTTTACTTTACTCAATGTGCATTTTATGGCGAGAAACTGTGTATGGCAGTGATGTTAGCTTCAAAAAAGCCCGTAATGGCTAACGCCAATGATGGACCACCAGACGCTCACCATAACCTTCTATTGGAGCAAGCGTTCGTTTAGGATTGTTATAAATGTTTCATTTCACATTTCACAAGTCAAGATTCAAGAAATGGATCTTCCGAATTTCGGAGATGCGGCATCAGAAACGAGTTTAAACGAGTTTATGTGGAAGCCATCTATCGAACTTCTACACTTTAGAAGCTTTCTTGAGATGACCCGATGTTGTTGAAATTTTAACGCGGGTTTTAGCGGACTAGTGTTTTCAGATGTTGACTGTCTGTTGCAGATGGACGACCTATACCACCCTGATACTTCAGGCTCGTATCCCCACTACGAAACTTCAGAAACCAGGGCTGTACTATTTGATTGCTAGTGGATCATTCACCCCATGATCTGTTAATGTTGGTAGCATTTTTGCAAAGTATTTTAATCAAGCTTGAACTCATGCGAACAAAAGTAAACGCATCTCTTCTTTTAAAACATGATATAGCCCTCTACTTGAACATGAAATTCAAGTCCAGGGCTATATCATGTTTTAAACTAAATTCTGAAATAAAGTGATTCAAAATTAACAAAGGGGAGACATCAATCATATCATTAGGAATGATTAATTTATTTTTGTGCAACTATTATAATAACATATTAGAGACTTATTCTTAAATCGGACATTATTTTCTGAACGAACCAATATACATATATACATACATACATACATACATGGTGGACTCTCCTATCGCGAATGATAAATGAGGGTCAATATTGGATGGTGCTTTTCGTTTTATAATTATTCATGCTAGCAGAGGCCATTGTGGAGAAAATCAAACATATTGCATTTCTGCTTTCTTAAGTGTGATACTAACCCAGCCTTGCTGCGGGCAACAAAGACACACTGACAGATGAAATTTGTTAAAGCAGGATTTCGAAAGCCTCTCTGCTTAAGAACTTGATTAAACGGATCATGGTGCTTCAGTCTACTGTCTTCAAAATGCTTTAACTTAATGAAACATGTCTTACGCCACTCCTTTCGGTTTGATGTTTGGCCTTCCCAGGTTTTCAGATCAAAGTTGAGACGTTTCGAGTTGTCTTTCAATTTGTCTTTGTAGCGTAAGAGTGGACGTCCAACTGAACGCTTGGAGTTTGGTAGTTGTCCATACAGCACCTTTTTTGGAAGCCTATGCTCATCCATTCTCACAACATGACCAGCTCACCTAAGTTGTATCTTTGCTAGAATGGTTTCAATGTCTTGTGATGTTACATTTCTTGAATATTGCGCTACTCTTGACCCTGACATCCCATTTTATATCACATATGGCACAAAGACAGCGCATGTGAAAAGCGTCAAGTTGATTGGTGTGTGCTTGCGGTACAGGGACCAAGTTTCAGCACCATAGAGATGGGTTGAGAGAACAATTGATCTGTATAGGTCGATCTGTATTCTGAGACACACGTCTTTGGCGTTCCATAACTTATGTTTAAGTTTACCGAATGGTGTGCTGGCTTTGGCTATTCTGGATTGGATTTCTGTCTACACACACACACACACACACACACACACACACACACACACACACACACATATATATATATATATATATATATATATATATATATATATATATAAACAGACACTCACACATATATGTAGTAACACCTCTATCTCTTATATATATATATATATATATATATATATATATATTTGATATGAATGAAGACATAACCTATATAAGGCAGTGAATATTTAGAATCTCAATGATATTTCTATTAGAACAAAATACCCTTAATTCTGTGTCCATTCTGCTTCTCCATACCGTATGGAAAGTCATTGGGGGCATCACCATTCTCCTTACTCTTGCCCACGGTATTAAATTTTCCATCGAAAGCCAATTTTATCTGAAGGAAAGTCACAAGTTACAAACAGTCAAATCATGGCCACAAGCAGATGCTGAAAGACAAAAAATATGCTTAACACATGAAGAATAAGCGAGCGTTTGGATATTCTGAATGCAGTTGAACGTACGCTCATTCAATGACTATTGACTAAATAACCTCACGAGAGAATATCTTTTCATGCACACATAACAATGTCTACTATGATTTCCTGTCAGTTATCAAATTAACTTTGAGGTTTACAGCCATATCACATTGACACACTGGTTCTCGACTAGTCACCTATGTCAAGCGATGTTGAGCTTTATATGTACCGAGATCGGTAACCACTTTGGACTAGCAGGTGCGGGAAGCCTCTGCCAACACGTATTCTGTCCGTCTTGCCTTCAATTTGTCCGGTGATTGTCAGATTCTCCAAGGCTATTATGTCACTGAGAAATTACGTCTGCCTCTTTCTGATTCTAAGAAAAAATGTACTTTTCGTTACCCATTTTTCTTAAAATACCTCTTTGTTGATATTTTCCAATCGCAGGATCTGTAATGTAATCGACTCGGCATCTCGACTTCAACCACTTTATCCCCGACTTAATGTGGCTTCCCTATGTCTTTTCTACAAATGTTTTATGACAATTGCTCCGACAAGCTTTTTTCTATGGTGACCCGACTATATGAATTTAAGCGCGCTATTAAATGCATCCGTTTGCTGTTGAAATAGTTAAACGTAACCGACACTTCTACTCCAACAGTTTCTTTTCAATCTTCAAAAGTTTAAATGCAACGTCAGTAGCCATCTTCTGTATTCTGGAATCCCGTTCATCTTTTACCCTTTCCTCAATTCTCCCTATACTCTTTTCTCACTACTTGGGAACTCTTCATACTCTAGTGTCTTTTCTACTTTGCTTTGGTTGAAATAATTAAAAAAAATGTATATCAAGCATCAAACACCTCTGTCTTGTCTGAAAGTTTCTCTACATCTGCCATATAGAAGCATTCATATTACATAATAGATTTTCTTACATTATTTGCATTATCCGGACTGTTATCCTCATCGTCATTGCCATATTAACAACATTTCTGCCATTTTACGCTCCGGCCTTCTTCAGGTGATCGGAATTTCGGAGCGAACGCTTTATTTCGCCCACCGGGGTAGATTGTTCTAGCTTCACGTGTTATGCATCTTCGGGATGTCTCAGCTATTTCCCTTTAACTCCCCAAGTTTTGGTTCATCACTGCTGTAGCCAGGTATTGAACTCACAACTCTTTGGGTCTAGACACTGGATCTTACCAACGCCTCTATCCTCTAGGTCATGTGTCCTTGAGGACATCAATGCCAGAGCGTACAACGGCCGTAACGTTATGAATATGGCTATGACGATGAGGATAACAGTTCGAATAATGTAAATAATGTAAGTTATAATACCTCATCTCAGAGATAAAGACAAATATTCAAATGCAATGCTAATCGGCATCTCCAGGTGCCTTGATCTATTCCCCGTCCTTCTCTTGATCCTTTCCCCTATCACGTCCCTTTACACTTGTCCCCACTCTTTTGTAATCCCTTGCGTGCTAGTGGCACTCCTACCTTGCTTGGGTGAAATACTTAAGAAAAAAAAAGAATTACCTGTAATTTTATGTCTGTGCCTGTCATCAATACGGCGTCATCGGTATATTTTATGTTCTTAAGGTAGAAATATATTTTCCTAAATTATTTCTATTATATTGATTGCACATTAAGAGTATTTCGTGTAAAATAGTTGAGAAGTGTCTATTGACATAATGATAACCAAATAACATGTAACAATGTTTAATGATGTTTATTTTAAATAACCGGAGATGTTGAAAATTACATTATCAAAGACATCGCTAGACGTCTGCTTTTTTTTCTTTCTTTTGAACATGATTCCACCCCAAACCATTTGTCAGTGAATGAAGGAAATGCTGTCTGGGGGACGGATCATCGATTTCGACCACCTATAAGCACGAAAGTAGTTAAGCTGGTAATGCGATAAACAATATTCATGTCAGTTGCTTTTCCCATCGACAACAGAACACACAAACCCAAAATAGAAATCACCACTTCGAATCCCATTGATTTTCTGATTCTGACTCCTTCTAACGTAGACTTCTCTTCAGTCGAAAGTAATTTTCGGTTTTTTTTTTTTTTTTTTTTTCTTTTTCTTTTTTTTTTTTTTTGGCCAGGAAATACTTTAAAAATACAAGCGGAATTTACCCCCCAACATGACTTTTTTTATTGGTCTATTCTAAACACTTTTATTTTTTTATTTTTCTTTACTGTTTCTTTCATAATATTTTTTCCCTTTTTGCTGCAGGGTTTTCGGAAATTCTTTCTGTTTTTTATACTACCTTATTTATTTGTTTACGTCTTTCTTTCCGCCTTCTCTCTATTTCCATTTATCCTGTCTTTCCAGCAAATATTAGTCTTTCTTTCCTCTCTTTCTTTATTTCTTTTTTCAGGTTTCTTTTTCGAAATTTTTCCACAATCTTGTTTCGCTCGTTTTCTTCTTTCTTTTCTTTTCCTTTTTATTTTTATTCGCAAACTTCTCTCATTCTTTATTTCTTTACTTCTTTCTTTTTTCCTTTCTTTATTTCTTTCTTTTTTCCTTTCTTTACTTCTTTCTTTTTTCCTTTCTTTATTTCTTTATTTTTTCCTTTCTTTACTTCTTTCTTTTTTCCTTTCTTTACTTCTTTCTTTTTTCCTTTCTTTATTTCTTTCTTTTTTCTTTCGTTTTCTACCTTTCGTTCATTATTCAGTCTTTTTTCGCATATTTTCTCCTTTTCCATTGTTACCTTTCTTTTTATATTTATTTACAACCTTCGTTTTTCCAGGTCTTATTTTATTTTTATTTTTATTTATTTTTTGCTATTCTGCTTTTATTATTTTTATTTCTTTCTTTCGTGTTTTTTTTTTCCAATATTTTAATTTTTTTAATTCTTTCCTTTTTCATGTATTTTTCGCACACTCTTTCAGTCTTTTAGCTTGATTTTTTTTACATCTTTTTTTAAATTTTTTTTTTCACATTTTCTATTTTTCATTTACTTTTTTCATGTTTCAATTTCGAGTGATTTTACTTTTTTATTCTTACTTTTTTTGTCTTTCTCTTTTTCATTAATTTCCCTCTTTCTTTCTTCACTTCCCTAGCATGTTCAATTTTTCTTCAACTGTGGTATTCTTAGGCAAAACAACTCACCTAATTAGGAAATCAGACATTGCTAATCGATAACCAAGACTGTTTTAGTAAATCGATTATTTTGGACTCGCGAGAAAAGGTAGGCGAAGACTGACGGTAACAGCAATTGTGGTAAAGGGGAAATTCTGGGAAAAAATCAGCGTACGGATAATCTCCCTGCTTCTAAAATGTAGACTCTTTTATTTTTATGGTCGGTCGATCGATTTTGACAAGTTTAAATGTTTAATTTTAGACGAAAAATCAATTAATGAATGTCAAATGGGGTTTAATAATAGGTGTCTATACCAATTAATAGACTGCATTTATCTGAGAATTCTAACATTCAATTCCAGTAAGTGAGGATGGATGAATTTAAATGATATCGACAGAGAAAAAAACAACTTACCTTCAACTCTTAAAAGACAGGAAAAGTTTACTTATTTCCCGTTGTCATCTAATGTTTCTTCCACATAAATATGTATAATTTCAGAGAAGTATATGACCAAACTGCAATAGAAACTTTCTTTTTTCATTCATTAGAAAAAAAAACTATCTTCCAAGTTCTGACTCCACTTAATGTCTAGATCTGATAAAGGAACTATATTGGTTCACAAAGTCATACATGTCTGATGAGGACCCCAATAGTGAAACATTTCAAATCTCATCAGGAGCACAACAATGAGAAAATGAGTGCCCCAATCTATTTAATCTCTTTCTAGACTGTTCTCTGCGCATATACAAGTACAAATATGAACAGATGGACAGTGATCATTTAAACATGCCAACATCCTAAACAAATCTACTAATAGAAAACAGTGTTACTGCTTCCTCTCACGAGACCAGTGTATTGATGATGGGGGTGGCTATGCTGATGACATTCATTTGATCTTGAAGAAAAAAATGTGTTCCCTGTAAGATGCAAGATAAACATTTCTAAAACAGAAACTATATTCTGGAATTGGAATGAAAGCAATGATGGCACTTACCTGATTCTATCATAAAAATTCAGGATATAAAATTAGTAAATATTAAAGACTTTAAATATCCCAGTGTTATAACAAATTTAGAATAGGAAATAATGAAACAGGTTATGTGAGGGATAGTTTCACCCAATACCACAAATTGCTACAAAACCAAAACATTAGCCTAAAAACTCACATCATCATTCTTATGATCCTCATCAGATTGAGACTTTTATATTGATGTCCTGCAAGGCACTAAAGTCATTCAGAAATATCTAAGTCATCAGCTGTGCACAACCGATTTCTCAGATTGATATTCCTCAAAATTGATTTACTTGTTATCTAACATCTTCTTGCATATAAATATACATAATCTCACAGCAGTATATGACCACACATCAATAGAGACTTTCTCTTTTCATTCATTACAAAAAAAATCTTCTAGTTCTGACTCCACTTAATGTCTAGATCTGATAAAGGAACTATATTGGTTCACAAAGTCATACATGTCTGATGAGGACCCCGATAGTGAAACATTTCAAATCTCATCAGGAGCACAACAATGAGAAAATGAGAGCCACAATCTATTTAATGGGCAATAATCATTTAAACATTCCATACCACATACCAAACGAGTCTACTAACAGAAGTCAACATTTCTGCTTCTTCACTCGAGAACAATGTACAGAGGATGAGGGAACTCCGTTGGTAACGAAGGTATTTATAGTTGGGACAAGAATAATCTCGAAAAAAAAATTATCATCCTCTACCAATTATTCCAAGAACTCAAAATAAACGATAAATTGATGGTGTGTAACTCGGAACCGTCATAAAAATCGAAAATGTGGAAATAGTAAATCGTAAACATTTGAAATAACACGTTGTATGAGACAATACAAATAAAGTATAAGAGATAAGGAAATTGAACAAATAGAACTATCCCTAACCCTAGGTATTGCATGGGGTATTTTACCCAAGATTGCAAAAACATTAACCCAAAACCCGAGTCGTGTTCTTATAAAAATCATCGTCAGATTGAGATTTTTATATCGATGTCATTCATTGTGCCAAACTAGTTCAGACATAATCGCCTGCTCATGTCGATTGTCAAAAATGGCTTGTATCGAGTGAGGCAATCTTCATCGAATATCTTGAACTGGGATACAGAATCACAAAGAACAGTACTAGATATCAGAAACCACAGCTAATGTGAGGAATTCCAAAAGCGGCAACAACCGAAATGGGTCGCATATGTAACTCGAAAACAGACTTCGTATCATCATCATCATCCTTCGACCTTCCTATTGTTGGTCAGAACTCCATTGATAATCCCTTTCGACACTGTTCGGTCCTGCATTGCTGTCTCCAGATCCCCAATGTCCTACACTGAATCCCGAGCTGTGGTGTCTAGGAAAGTCAATTTTTGTGAGAAGACACATCCAGGAGGCTGCCATAGGAGCAAGGATGAGACGATTTCCCTGTCCGCGCGGCGGCAGTGTCCAGCAAACTGTAATCGTTTTTGTTTTACCTTAAGAGAGATTGGTCTCAGCTAGTGATATAATCAAGATACTGACGTTCCATAAACCTCCAAACAAAAGACAGGCAAGTAAGCTCTTCCCCCGATCAATACTGAAAAAGGGTATTAATAGCGGCCTAACTTGAGAAACCTATTTTCATGAAAAATTGTTTTAAAAGAAATATTTTATAAATTTCCGGCGACAGTAATGATGAATGCTTACTTATAAGGAAATGGCTAATTTTATAATTATTACCATTCCATCCAAGCCCCTATTGGACGACAGGAAAATATTAAATGAATAAAAGGCGTTTAAGCCTTACATCTTTTCATGAGTTTCTTTTCTGTATACGCGTTATTGAAACGATGACATTTAAGAGAAGTAATACAATTTCTCTACTTGTCCGATTCTGTAGTTAACACTGCTCCGAAATAGAAGTGTTCTCCTTTATGCAACCGCCTACGCAAAAGTAACCTGTTTAATAGAATTTCTCATATTTATTTGTTTGGCTAATCGAACTTCAATTTGATTGATTTGGTCTTTTTAATAGCGAAAAGCCAAAACGAGACGAATAATAATAATAATTTAAATTTCATTAATAAATAATTTCCGGTTTATGCAGCACTTGACGGTAATTTTATGTTCAAACGTAAAAATTTGAATGGGTCTTAGAACAAAAGAAGCGTACATGGAATAAAGGAGAGATAATCGAATGAGTTGGTGAGAGGAAAGATTATCACGGTAAGAATTAGTAGCAGTGAGTAGTTGATTATTTTAGGATATTAACATGAGGAGTCAACTAATAACACAAAAGCAATAACATTATTTTAACAGATATTTTAACATTTCCTCATAGGCTACCAACCCTCACAGGGGATCAACACTTGCAGATAGAGGTTTACTATAGCATGGAGATGCGTAGGGAAGGATAGGCTGGGAATATACTTCTCGTTTTGATAGCAGACTCGAGAGGAAAAGTACAATTTTTTTTAAATAACGTAGTAAAGGAAAATCAGAAGAAAGGTCCAACCATTAATTATGTTAATGGCAATATCAACCGTTTCCTGATAAGGAAACATTCTACATTTATTGACTGGGCAGCCAGTACTCGAGGTAGTCTTCTCTTCGCTCCCTTACCATTGGGCTGGGATCAGTGTAGTATCTGCTCTTGAGTGGATAAACTGCATTTTATCTTTTCTTCGTCTCTCTGTCTTCAAACAGAGTACAACTTTTTGTTTATTTGTCTACGAGTACATCGCAAATGAAAATATTATTGAGAGCATTATTAAGGGCAAGCAGCCGAGAGGTTAGAACGTTTGCATTCTGACCATAAGACCCGGGTTCGAATCTTACCATGGTCAATTTGTCAGAAAGGAGACATGTTATCGGACTACACCTGTCGATCCCAGCGTGCAGCACCTTTTGAAAGTACCTGTGAACCATACGATGGGTGCCATCGATAGATGTGCTAGCCGAGGGCTTGAGCGTGCTGGCCCTGTTCAAATTGTTGATCACGCTAGATAACACGCTCTAAACTGTAACTAAGGTCTTCTCAGAATAGTTGCAGTATAAACCTGTGAGTGTTGAATAAACACAAATGCGCCTGATCGAGCGCCTACAATAGGGACTGGCTAGCCGCACTAGTAGACGGGTGTCCTCAAATAAGAGTGGCCAGCTATACTATAGTACATCCAATCTTACAGCAGCTTCTCTTCCAAAGCGGTCACCTATCTAGGTACTGACCACTCACGAACGTGCCTAACTTCGGTGATAGTTCAAGAAACTGTTTTTCAACGTGATGTGTCTGTAAGCCGTTAACAAGCAGGAGTATGCGCGCCTAATACGAAATGTTTCATATCCCTTCAGGACGTTAGCGATTATAGCTCTTCACAACTTCCTATACTTTGTTGTTCTTAGCAATGTGTGTCTTTTCATTATCCATTCAATTACAAAAGCTCATGACGTTGGTTGCAGTTTCCTTCTGCCACTCTTGGCTTCAGTATGTGATGGGAGATTCATGTTTTCCAAACCTTCTTTCCTCATTATATATTCTAGAAATTTCAGCAGCCACTTTCTGATTCGAAGTGTAAGTGTCCTAAGTGTAAATATCCTAAGTATAAATGTCCTAAGTGTAAGTGTCCTAAGTGTAAGTATCTTAGAAGTGTTCTATTTTGTTTCCA